TAGAAACAATGTAAGACACAAGGAATTAAAATAAAGAATAACCACAGTACATTAAAAGGAGTGAAGATACAATCCAGCACAGGCAGCCAGAACTGTTTTATTGTATCTATTTATTTGTTTGGAGGATAAGCCCTTAGAGGTCCTCAAAATTGCATAAAATGGCAGATACAGTCAGGCAAACAGTAAAGCTAACGCATAACAATACAAACACGTAAGACAAAAAAACACACACACACACACACACGTCATATTATCATTGGAGATAATACTAAATTATTATACATTTAAATAATAATAATACATTTAGGTTCACAATCTAAGTTCAAAAACACTGACATGGATTTTGGGGATATTTTAAACAGAGGCAGAACATTGTCAGAGAAGAAGCCTGCCTCATATTTTTAGGAAGAATGTTCCAGATTTTAGCCGCATAAATCTGAAATCCCCATGTTTAATCCTGACTCTGGGCACCAGCAGGAGGCCAGTCCCTGTGCTCCTGCCAGTGTAGGTCAGACTTATTGAAACACATAAACACAAAAAGATGTATTAGAAGTAATTTGGAAAATCAAAGGAAACTATAGTTTATCTGTTCAATGTCCAAACAGATGGGTTTAGGAAGGAAATAAGGAATTATCATTGCTTAAAACTTGTGTGTTCTCGTGGTGCTTTGTGTTAACAAATTGCTTCAAAAGGCTAATTTATGTGAAAATATACAACACACGGATCAAACGTTATGCTGATTTATGAAGCTATCTTAATAGTTTCAGATTAACCTTAATCAAAACTATAATTCATTTTGTGAGGTTCTGTTCAAATTATGACAAACGTCTAGTTTCGGAGGTCTAGGTTACGAAATAACCCTTAAGAATCTGCACAAGAAAAGAACAGAGATATGAACGCTGAAAGTTTTAATGAATGGATCCAGAATATTTACAGATTAGAGTCACTGTTTGGACTCATCCATGCTCTCACACATGTCACCACGGCGACAAAGGGCAATTAGCATTTTGGTGCAAAGTGAGACCTTGTGACTGCTCCTCCCTCTGCACGCCAAAACTTTGAGCTGTTAGTCAGAAATAGATCCTCTTCAGACAGGCGTACCTTTCACCACAACTTTGTATACGTATGTTCTGTAATTTTATCAGTAGCTGTAATTTTACCGCACAATTACTAGTAACTTTAAATACTACTGTTGTAGCTTCTCAACCTTCGAAAATTAAACATTCTATTGTTTCTCTTCTCGTTACACACAATTACCTGGGGTTTTGGTTTGGGAGGAGATCAATACATTTGATAGAGTCTATAAAATCTCTATCATAGACCTGGGGTGTCCAAATATTACAATAGTAATAGTAAGAGGACTCTTAGTTCTCTCCAGGGGGTGGCAACACAGAAGGTAAAACTGTTTGGACTGGATTCAAGCTGTTCTGAAATTTAAAATGGGATATGACTGAAGTTGGCTGAATGACAAATGCTTACCAGCTACAGTATATTAGCGACGTATGCAGAATTATGTCAGTATATACAATTAAAGTCTATGGCTGGATTCTAGAGGTTTTGTGCTTTCCAACAAGATGCAACATTACTGTATAAGCATGGGCGGAGCTGAAGTTGCCTGGATGACATTGTGAACTTGTGTTTTCTTTGGGTCAATAAAGCAGAGGGCCACTTTAGACTAACAAATGGGATTACATTACCGCTGCAACTGAACAGGGTCAAACATAGACACAGATTGTTTTGGCCTTTTATGGGAAATGGATAAATTAGCATACTGTATTTGTCAGTGGCACTCCTGTTATCCTACATCATGACATTTCCCTTTCCAGATTCAAAACTCACACACTTCACTTGCTCACTCAGCAACATATAGGGATTCAAGGCATTACCATTGCACATATGTAATAGTTTCCACCTCAAAGTTGTAGGTTTGATTCTATCCTGTCCTGGTCGATGATGCTTATGATCCAGGAATTGTGATGTAAAAACCGTCAAAAGTGAGTTGTCTGGCAGAATGTCCACCCAGTTTTCAGACTTTTCCCATGGTGCTTCGGGCGTGTGCGTATCATATTGTGATGTATAGCTTCCTTGTTGCTCCTTGAGACAAACACTCCCATCCATCACATATATTTACCACAAAAACAAGGGCGGCTGACGACAAATGCCCACAATCCAACATGGAACAGAAATCTCTAGGACTCAAATATCCCGATTTTGGATATTTGTGGCAGGTCCTGTTCTAGTTTGGTGCTATTGATTTGACATTGTTCTGAAACTTCCAGGAAAGACTAAAATGAATGGATCCATCAATAATAGTTCCCTATTTGTTCACAGTTTGTCTGAACTTTGTGTATCTCCGGTTTAAGTGGAAAACAAAAAAAAAGTACTTTGTCAATCAAAGTAAAGATAGAAAATACACAAAACGGATCCAGATGAATTAAAAACAGCAACATTTCTAACCCTTGATCCTTTTCCTTATAGCTGCCCTCTAAGTTCCACATAATTGAGTTGTAAATCCGAAAATATGATCCTAAAATAGTCCCCAATGATGTGTGTGGATGAGAGCACAGGGGTCATGGAAACACAGAGGAAGCAGAAGAGATGAGCCCTACTTCCTGTCCGTTTCTTCCCCAGAGTTTGAATGTGTTTTGTTGTGTCTGAAGGGACTCATCCTGTCACACGTGAGCAAAACTCCTAGTAATGCAGATTTATGTGGAGTATGTACGAGCGGAAGAGCCAAAAACACGCTGCTATTTGGGCTAATGGACTCGATCACTATTTCTGATGCATGAGATACTTTGTTCCTTTAGCTGTCAGACTGTACAACAAACCTGGATGAGTCTTCTGCTGCTGCTATGTGTGTGTCACTTTGGAAGTATGTTGTCAATTATTTTATCATACACACAAAACTTGGAAAATTTGAATATTGTTCTCTTAGGAGCTCTGTAATAGAGATAAGCAAAGCGTGCCTTGAGACGTTGTTTGGTGTACCTTTGGAAATGAACCAATATCTGATATCACCTAATTGGTCAAAATAATGTGAAAATAACATAATGCCAAAAGATTAAAGACCCACTTAGACTTGATTTGCGCTGTTTGATTTTCTTTAATAGAATGACTTTGCAAAGTATATAAAAGCTGCATAGTTTAATTTTTGTGTCAGTTTAAGCTGGTGGTGTGCTGTGTGATGGTTGTCTATGAAAAAAAAAAAAAACTCAAAATAACGGATGTACTTTTTAATAGCCATTTCATTATTCTTGGTTGGGATAAAATTTTCTTACACATCTTACCTAATACTAAACTTTCTAATATTGCCATAGAAGAATACATTCAAATGGAACTAGCATCCTTTTCTATGTATCCATCTGAATAGCACAGGTTCACAATAGTTTTAATTTCTGAAAGATGTCGACGCAGACAGGCTTATAACATTTATTACATGTTTACACATTTATACATTTAGCTGAAAGGCAATAAACATGTAGTGTGGCCAATCACACAATCATACCATTTGTGACATCAATACTACAAGAGAGATTCTTAACAGGTCAAACCATAGAATCAGAGAAACGTATGGGTCAAACAAGTGTTCCAAAAGAATGGGGGATTTTAGTAATTTCATACTTTTATGTTGCAGTATTTAACTATATATATTTAACTATAATATATTTAAGTTATAACTGTTTGATTCTCTGATCTGTTGTTGGTGAATCGACAACCTTGTAAAGTCCTCAGAGAAAAACTGATGCTGTGATTTAGGGCTTTAAAAAAATAAACTCAATCGAATTTAAACATGTCATAAATAAAAAACTACAAACCGTCATTTTGGATCATACGTATTGATAACCATGAGGGACATTATAGACGTTAGAACTTATATGTCCGATACAATACATAGATCATGAAAATGTTTTCACAGATTCATACAGTAACCAGGAACATATGATCACAGGCCTTAATGCATTTTTGCACTGGCTAAAGAATCAAAAGCCGTTTCTTAGCACACATTGAGTCATTTAACTGTGTAACTAAAAATGACACTACAATAGATAGACTATAGTACATTTAATTTCATAATGTCCGAGTGTTTTGAGTCATAATTGCGGTTTGTATTATTCACATTGTCCATCCAGTAGTTTTTTCTGTCGCCCAGTGTTCTCTTATTTTGTATTCAAATCCAATGCGTTGCTTTGTTCTTTTTAAAGTTGTGCATTATTAGGTAAAAAAGTCAAACGAGATCTTAAAGGCACCCTGTGAGTGTAACGTCACTGCTACACTACTGTTTACATTATTTAACAGTAATTACAGGCTTCTTCATGACAAGTGGCATTAGTTTGTCTCACAGGGTAAACTTGGTAAAAACAAGTCAGATTGCTATAGGAGACTTTTGACGCATCTTCTTATCTTATTCAAAAGCGTGGGAAATGTGTTGACAATTCAGCAATGAGACTATGATGCTACAGTTTAGTGATACACAACTCGAATCTTATGTTGTGTGCTAGCCTGACCATTTAGTCGTCTTTACTACTAAAATGTATTGAGTTAAAGTGTATAATAAAATGTATTAATGCATTGAATTCAACTTGAAGCTGGGGTAAACATACATGCATGTGTTTTTGCTCTTGTCACATCTTTATATCAGCCTTTTCAGACAGATCGGGTTGTTTCAGGCAATCAACTCTCAGCCAAAGCATCAGAAAGTGACTCAAAGGGCTATTTGAGTGCGCAAGATATAAAGACAGCAAGCGGCTGATTTCCTTTTTCTGCTCATACTGCTGGGTCAAATAGAATGGATTATATATGGAGATAATCAGGATACCCCAGCTCAAATACAATGAAATGCAGTTAAAATACATTTAAAAGTAAAATGTCAAAGTTTTGTCCATATTTGACAAAGTCTCTTGTGAATTGTCCCTTAGAAATCCTTCCGAGTCTGTAGTGGGCAGGTTGGCCAGGCCAGTCGCTGACAGTCATATGAAGCTAATACTCTTATAATGTCGAATCTACTCTTGTATTTTCCTCTTGGATGGCGGCACCAGATGCGCGGGCAGATCCGGGGGCAGTTCGTGTCCCTCCAGTTTGACTTTGATGAGATGATTGGCCAGCGCAAACTCTTCATCATCCAGCATCCCGTCTTTATCGATATCTGCCAGCTTCCAGATTTTCCCTAGGACTGTATTGGGCAGTTTTGACTTAACCATTTCTCTCTTGGCATTGGCGCCGGTGACCTTCCCATTTACAGGGGACAGGGTGTAGAAAATCTCATCGTAGGCTGGTTTGTCACGGGCCACGACCCACTCTGCTTCATCAATGCCCTCTCCCGCCCCTTCTCCATAGCCGTGACCGAACGGGCCGTGCAGCGTGCCGTCGAAGGCCCCTCCTTTGACCACAGGGTTGGGTCTCTGGTTCTCCTCTTGTCGGACGAGCACCATGAGGCCGGCGATGTCGTGGGCGAGCATGTCGTCCACTGCCTCCAGGAGTTTGGGCTTCAGCGGCTGAAATTTGTTCAGGTCTTGTGCTTGAAGTTGGTCCTGAACAAAGACATTAATAATTAGTCATTATCAACAAAACAGGTTATAATTAGCAAAATCAAATAATTTGTATTTATTTGATCCCCATTGGCTATTCATACACAACTATTCTTCCTGGAGTCCGCGTGCATTCACGATAATTGTACTAAACGTCATCATGATGCTCACATTTTTTGTTATTATTGGCAAGACTTGATATGCAACGCCAATATTGAATACCACAATGAGGATTTTGAAACACAGTTTTGTGGGAATTTTAAGTGAGAAAATAAAGGAACATAATGAAAGGCAAGTACTAAAGTTTTAAACAGCCTCTTATGCACATTCTGTCAAATGTTCAGAGTATTTTAAAATTTGAGAGAGAATCAATTTTTGATTGAAAAGTACAATAATGAATGAACCAATTAATTGTGAATGTATGCATTCACTTCCACATTCATGTTAAATCTAACATCTATGCTGGACCATGACTGTCACCCCCTGCAGGACACTCTCTCTGCTCTGGAGAGCAGCTTCAGTGACAGACTAATTCACCCTCAATGTGTGAAGGAGAGGTTCCCAGGTCTTTCCTTCCTGCTGCTGTCAGACTGTATAACAAACAATGGGGACTAATGAACACTGCCAACTTGATTCCACGTGTCATTCTCGCATCGTTGCAATATCCTTACCTTATATCAGAATGTGCAATACATAGATGTAAACATACTGCTGCTAATGTACAGATGTAAACATACTGCTGCTAATGTACAGATGTAAACATACTGCTGCTAATGTACAGTTGTAAACATACTGCTGCTAATGTACAGTTGTAAACATACTGCTGCTAATGTACAGTTGTAAACATACTGCTGCTAATGTACAGTTGTAAACATACTGCTGCTAATGTACAGTTGTAAACATACTGCTGCTAATGTACAGTTGTAAACATACTGCTGCTAATGTACAGATGTAAACATACTGCTGCTAATGTACAGTTGTAAACATACTGCTGCTAATGTACAGATGTAAACATACTGCTGCTAATGTACAGTTGTAAACATACTGCTGCTAATGTACAGATGTAAACATACTGCTGCTAATGTACAGATGTAAACATACTGCTGCTAATGTACAATTGTAAACATACTGCTGCTAATGTACAGATGCTAACATATAACTACACTTTACTTGCACTAGAATACACATAACTTTATACTTTCCTCTTATTTTGTCAAATGTTAAATAATTAGTATAGCTATTGTTCACTTAGCTCTTGTTGTTGTTCACACTCCTCTTTCCTACTGTTCTATACCCTGTGATGCAACACCAAAATTTCCCCACTGTGGGACAAATAAAGGATCTTAATCTCTTAATTTTAATGTTACCTGCATCTTCTTGAGATTAGGGAAGTCTCCAGGAGAGATCTGGTGCTCCCTCTCGATGCGTTTGTAAATGTCGCCCAGACTCGCAATCAGCTCTTTCTTTTTGTTATCTTTTCCAAAAACTGAGGGCATTTCTTTCTTCAGGGAGCTGATGATGTAGGCATGGACCTGCAATTAGGAAAATAATTAAGGCTCACAAGAGAACATTTTTCATAACTCTCGTGACAAAAGTACATACAATTTTCTCACATTAAACTATAGTGAGTGTACAATATGCAATTCATCACTCATTCAACATCATGTATAAACACGGTTCCTACAATAGTTATTATGGCAACAAATGATTGACAATAGAAGAGATACGTCACACCTCCATTCCATTATATTATTCCATTCATATGTGCATTGTATTTCTTCACACATTTGTGTTACGCCTAGAATTAACTGTTGTTAAGTCAATATTGCATTTCCATCCATCCATCCATTTACTTCCCCTTAATCCATTACTAGTTTGGGGGGGGTGGCAGTCAGAGCTACACCCAGAATGGAATGAGACAGGCCTCCTCAATGACAATGTTTAAAACCAGGTTAAAGACAGTTCTGTTTAGCTGTGCATACAACTGAGGGATTTTATATTGTTATCTTTCTTTTTAATGTTCTGTGATTATTTATGATTTTAATGCTTTCTTATTTTGTTCAGCACTTTGAATTGCCTTGTGTATGAATTGTGCTATATAAATAAACTTTCCTTGCCTTACACAGAGCACAAGTACACACCCACAATATTGCATTTACAAATATATATTAAATTATTAACAATTTATGGTATTTTATATTTTTGCCGTTTGATTAAATATGGTAATTTAACATAACACCGAGTAGTGATTTCCCCCAAGGATAAATATTATATCTGCAAAAATCAAAAAGACAACAGAAAGAAAAATAGTTGTTGATGTATTGCTAACGTAAAATATGACACCTTTAGAACGTACTGTATGTACTGTATAAATATTTACGAAAACGGTCTCTTTCTTTGGTTTTGTCTAAGCTCTTATCTGTTGTGAAGCACACGCCCTCACACAGGAAAAGTCCCTTCACATCGCACTTGTTTGTGAAGTTAATCTGTGGCCTCTGTTTGCTCCTCACGTCTCCTTGAACCGGCTGGCTCCGGGACGCCACCTGATTTCCTCAACAAATCAGGAAGGAGAACACGCACACATGTCAGGATCTATTAGTGATTTTCTTTTTCTGTCAAGGTCAGCAGCTGTACCGACTGCGGGGAGGTCGAGAGATGAGAGGGGATAAATAGAAAATCAACACCTTTAGGAGGGTGGGCCACGGCCAAGATTGAAATAGCATTATGCCGTGTTTCTATGAAAAAGACGGTATGAAAAAATTTCAGGACAAAATATGACATGTACACGTGAAAATTCATTTGTTTTTTTAATTGCACATCTAGAGACTGAAAGTTTCCGACTGAAACAAATCAAGCCAGATTAGAAGCAGTGTTGGTGAACAGCAGTTTCCACAGATTTTTCATAGTTTTCATGTTTAGGTAATGTGCATCTACCACATCCACCCCAGCCTTTTGCAAACTCTAACTGCTGTTCTTCCAAGAGATTCCTATCTTTTGCTCCTCTTCATGTTTGTTGTCGTGTTGTTAAGTTATGGCACAGCAGTTAGTGATTGTACTTCACAATAAGGTCCTGGGTTCAAATCCTCCTCCTGACTCGGCCTTTCTGTATGGAGTTCATGTTCAATAACATGTGCAATAGTCCCCCGTAACACCCTCCTCAACCCCCCATGGGAACGAGGACTCCCCTCAAGTCAATTATTAAAAAATGTACGTAATTGTAAGTTATGTTATACTTTATCGTCCCTGTAGGGACATTTGACCCATCCTTTATTGACACTAGGGCCTCTGTCAGGAGCAGTCTCCAGGGATGTTGATGCTCAGCTTAGTCAGGCTACCAGAGATTTTACCTTTTGTGCCTATTATAAGTGGTAAGAGAAACCGGTGCACTCGGAGGAAACCAGACTTGAGGAGAACATGCAAACTCCACTCAGAAAGGCCCTGTTCTGAGAAGCTTGAGGGCTAACGTCTTAGCAACCATGCCGCCCGTGTTGTATTATTACTTTTGCAACTTACTGTAAATTATCCGATACCCCCGTGACTAGACTAGACTGTAGTCAAGTTTATGCTGTGCCTTCTTGCAAGTGGTCAAACATGTTCTCGTAGGGACAATTAACAGAAAAATTGTGCTTGATGATCATGAGAGGTGTAGTTCTCAAAGTTCCCAGTAGCGTTTCAATCCTTATTTTCCATGACAGAACAGTGCTGAGTGAGTTTGCACTTGCCTTGGCCAGTCTCGCCCTCTTTATCAGATCATTGAGTTTTCTGAGGGCTGCGTTTCTCGGCAAAGACTGGATGTCCTTGAACAAGTCCTGCTCCTCGGCCTCAAACAGCTTCCTGTTGTCAGGTATGAGGAGGGGGTGGGACCAGAAGGAGCCAATGTAGACTCGGATCACCTGTCGCACACAGAGCACAGGCAGACCATTCAAATCAGCAATTTGTAATATCATCGTAGTATCATGTACAGCTGATAGTTTGGACATATCTATTGTGTTTTCAAGCTAAATTATCCATCTATGGCATGACTAGATATATCTTTTTCTGCTGACATTGTAAACGAACATCATGTAACTTTTTATAGTAGTGGAAAGAGGGGAGAAGACATTACTATGCCTGGAATAGTCCACAATACAACCCTTTTATCTAAAAATATGTACAAAAGCAATGAGGAGTAGTAAGTAAGTGGTCACCAGCACCTCAAAGAAAGAATTTAATTTGTTTATAGTTCAAATCCATGCTCCTTGAACTATTGTACATGTTTTTAGTGTAAGGGAAACCGGAGCAGCTGGAGGGAACCTAGGCAGTCAAGGGTAAAACATGCTAACTCCACAGAGAAATTCCTGGAAATCAAACCCAGGACTCTCTTGTCCTGAAGCATGAGCGCCCACTATGTCGGCTAGAAATAATTTTATTTGGCAAATATAAAAGGGTTCATGCTGCAGTCTCTTGAGGGCTTGATTGATATTATGTATGAGAAATTATGGGTTTTTTCCTAATCCCCCTTTCACCGCTGGTGTAGTTTTCACTCAAAATTAATAGATTTCAGTAATTTGAAGCCTTTTTATCTTAAGAAAGTGTTCTGTTTTTTATGCAGTGAAGTGAAATCTTACTTCTGGCGTGTTGACTATTTTCCCCAAAGACCACATCAGGGCTCCATACACTCTCATGAGCTGCTGTGTCTCGATCTGATCAGCCTTGTTCAGCACAACTCTGAAAAAACAAAGCGGCAAAGTTAACTACACTGTGAATTATTTGATCAATTAAAACATACAATGATGTCCTTTTGCTATATCTGCACCTTATTTTGTCCTCATGGTTTTTCAGGGCTTTTATCACCTCCGAAAACTCATCTGAAATATCCAGTTTGTGAGCGTCAAACAGTAAAATAATCCGGTCCACTCTCTCTGCGAACCACTCCAACACAGCGGCAAAGTCGTAGCCTGCAAAAAAACAAAGGGAATCATGTTTAATGTCCCTCACACTAGACAATATCATTAAGATTTGGGGTTAAGAAAAGCACACAGTTGTATCTATTTGCAAAAACCACACCAAAGCTGTTTACTTTCTCCTCTGTTGCAATGTTCCCAAGAGCAACGACTCCAGGTCACCAGCAGAAATGAAGACGCCCTCATTTCAACATGTTGAGAGAAGAGTATATAGATCTGCTTACAAAAGCTTTTTAGTAGATTTAGTGAACACCTTCTTTTGGTTAAGAAAATATGCCACAGTTTCTATGTTCATATCAGAAAGGAATAGAAGAGGGTTACTGGGTACGTAAAAAGGTAAAGTAGTAATTTGATCTCATTGCACTCACTGTCCCTGCGGCTCAAGAACACGCTATGCTACCTGAAGACATTCCACGAGATATGAGACAAGAACAATGGACAAAGGACAATTTTAGAGTTGTACACGTGAAGCCAAAATTAAAAATACGGCGAAGAGAAGAATCATGCACGGTCAAGGTCAGTGATATAATTATTTCAAAAAATATGTGGTCTTTCATCACATGGTTTGGTCAACGGTGTTTTTGTACTCACCAAGTAATAATTGTATTAATCTTTAAAAGGTTCATAAGGGTTTACTTGGAACAGCCAAAAGTAGATGGAAGTAAACATGGATTAGCAAAGTAAAATCATATGTTATCTGCCTTATATTAACGAATACATTTTTTTCAGCTTTTTTTTTTGGACATTGAAAAACGCTTTACATTGTATTTTTCAGTAACTCCAAGGTGAAGATTTGCATCATTTGCCCCTCTGACCATCACCAGACACAGCACACATATTGGACAATGTGGGTGAAGTGCTTTGCCTAACGACACAATGGCCGTTCAGTGCCACAGCTGTTCCACGGTTGCATCCAGCATTCTTGATCCGGTCTCCCATCACAGGACTAACCAGAACCCGCACTGCATAGCTCCTGATATCTGTGATCAGGCTAAGACCGACAGATATGGCCAGTTTCCTCTTATTAATCAGTATAATTAGGTTCAATAACTAAAGTAACCCGGATCTGGTACATTACATAGTTATACCAAGTTAATTTTGTATCATAACATTTTTTATTAAAATATATAGTTGAAGTAAACAACATTTTATTTATTCTATTTGAACCATGAAAAAAATAATGATAATGATATGAAAACCATGAAAAGATAATGATAATATGTAAGCTGCTTTTAAAAGGATTTTTGAGCTCAACATTAGGGCAGTTAGTTAATGCTGTTAGTGTAAAGTTATAGTAGTTCAAATGGATTGTTCTCCCATTTGAACAGATAAACCACAGAACTGCTTGACTGCGCAGGCGGATTACATGTTTGGGAAAAGCTAGAACAAGTACCACAGGTTACATAGAGGACACACTGTTGGAAGATACCTTGACAACCTGAATTTAAGTGGATCCTTCTTCACACAGGCTCTCACTCTCCGTCACATGTCTGAGCTCGGTCAACGCTAAGATGCTAAAGCTACAACACTATCAACTCCTGAGAGTCCATCTGTCACTAATACTTTCATGCAGAAAATATGAGTAAACTATGCAATATTTATCCAAGCGTGCACCGTTGTGTATTCCCAGACCATGTGACTTGTGATCTGGTGAAGAAGAGGCCAAGTTTTCCACAAATTCCTCAAGATATCCAAGTCTTTAAGTTAAACGTTTTCGCAGACTTGTTGAATACCTCCGTACGGACATCTGTGAAGATAGCTATAGCATGAGAATTCTTCATCTGGAAATGCGAACACAAATTATTTAACAAAAAATAATGGGTTAACAAGTTCCTTATGAATAAAACCCTAAACAAAGACAAAGAAACACAAATATATATACAAAACATGTTTGATTTGACAACACATCTTACAATGACAGTTGTGTTGATGTGGGTATGAGTTGAGAAACCTGAATGACATGTACACTATCTCTGTTGTTGGGTTGATTTTTCTTGATAGTCTCCCTCCATGGGGGGGGGCACCACTATGTCCTGGCTGACCCCCTGACCAATCGATTGTGACATGTGGTGACATCACAGCTGATATATATTCTCTGTCTTCAGTGTCATTAAATGTCCTCTTTTATATCTTTTTGGTTAATGTTTATATAACTGTTTTTAGCCCGTTGCTTATACGTGGGTCAGGCCACAGGTAAGCAAGGTTATAAAAAATGAGACAGAAGACAATAAATTGCATAATGACGGCGTAACAAGCCATCCGAAGTTGTGGATGTTGCACATTCTGCTCTTTCCTTAAAAACTTTGTCTTTGCAAAAAATCCCTGGGGTCTTTGGTACACTGCGCTGTAACTTTAGAAGAATGATTTTCAAAGTCTTAAGTTTGTTTTGACCCTTTCATTTTGACACATTCCTGTCTTCCACGTGGTGAAAAGTTGCCATGAGTCTAAAAAACTTGTCACCCTTTCACGCTACCGTTTCAATACGTGTCAAAAAACATGGGACTGCAGTAGGACAAACGCCTTATGCTCCTACTGAGGTCCACAGTTTAAAAAGAATGATGTCAAAAAAGTGTTTCTCCTTGCATTATCACATAAAATTACCAGTATAGTGTTCAAAATGCTCAAATAATAGGAGGCAATGAATTCACTATGATAGCTTGTGTTAATTAATATTATACAAAAATTCCCTTTTCTACCGCCTACTCGTCTTGGCGGCACTCTATTCATTGTGCAACCTCCCTGTACAGTTCTTTAAAAATGACAAACCACAAACCACTGACAGTTTTAACCCCACAAATAAAGTGGCAAATGGCTTTTCCAGACGCAAAGTTACAGACATGAAAACAACCTCATGAAAAATGGTGTGTGAAAAGGGCACACAAAGAAAAACAAAGGAGAAGTAAGTAATAGCAGTGTTTAACATCCCAGCGTCGGGAAGACTGTAAGGAGTTGTTATGGCAATACAGAGATCTCAGTGGGAATGCTGCTATAAGTGTGGAGGAGTAAAGCTAGAAGAGCCTTGGTCAACTCCGCATGTGGAATCACTGAATTAGAGACTGTGACCAAAAAGATTCAAATTGCAGCTTGATTTGTTGTTTATTTAAAAAAGTCATAATGGCGGAAATATGAAAGGACAATTTGGAGTTGTACACGTTAAACCAAAATGAAAAACACCGGGAAGAATCAAGGTCAGTGATGAAAGATGTCATTATTTGAATATAGATGTGGACGATTGAATGTCATAACATGTTTAAGAGGATGAGCTACATGGAAGGAAGTTTTGTGCATATCAAAACAATTTTACATTGTATTGTGGTTTCAAAAATTTAGTATTTAAAAACTATTGTATTGTTACATTTCCCCAATACTGTTCCAAATGATTAAACTTTGCAGTCCGAATTCTGGCTGCTATAGTTCCAGTTCCCTTTTCCAAATAGAAAGAGGCTTAAAGGCACAGTATACACTATAATTACACTATGCCTGGTACAACAATTACCATATCGACCCAAAAACTTTAGGCTCCAATACTTATTGTACAGGTTCTTTGCGATAGAGGTCGATGTTTGCGATTTTATTTGTAAAACAATGTGGTTTTAGCTGTAGAGGGTTTCATATTTCTTAAGGGTCTAAATATTATGTAATTGTAATTTATGAACTTGATCGATCAAATCAATCCAAAATATATTTATGGTATTAAACAGTGTCATTGTACCTGTGTCAGTAACATACATCCTTTCAATGTTATCGTTTATAGTTTTAATAATCTACAGAGGCATTTCATCATCTGTTAAAATGACTTATCATGACAGACCTATTACAACTAAACCATGAGTTAGTCAAAGTGTATACCTGAAAAGACACTGCTGCTGCTCAGAGTTCTCGTATTCAGACCCCTGACTGTAACGTCGTTGACACACATATAATGCGGCCATCGTGTCCATTATATTTTTTTAATACTTATAAATCCACATATTTTGCACCGTGTTGAATCTAGTACAATACCATACATGCCATGAGGTCGTGGCTCTAGTATTCGCCCCGACTTCCTGCTCTTTCAATTGAATGAAGCGTGATCCTGAAAAGCTAAAATAAACACACGGGGAAACGCAAAGGGAAACGCTGACAGAGGAGTTCAGACGGCAGTGGGACCGTCTCGTGGCAGACTGAGGCATTGGCGCATTAGTCGGAGGCTCATGTGTGCGCGTTACCTCGGCTGATTCTCTGCTTTTCTCCCGACAGGATTCCTGGAGTGTCGATGACGCTGATGCTTTCCAGAACGGGATTAGGCAGCTGTGCGCAAACAAATCTGAAAAAAAATAAAAAAAAAAGGAGAAGACCTTTTTTAGAGTTTAGAGAGACACCCCCCACAGTAGTGTAAAACGCTCAAACAACAAGCTTTCTACTCCTTCTCTGAACTAGGCCCCATGTGCCCTGGTCTTTCCAGCTGTCTAAATGCAGACAGGTTAATGGTCATCCTCACTGTGCATGTACTATAAAGTCAGCAAATGTGAAGAAAAGCAATACATATTATCATGAAGAGGACGAGCCTGCACCAAGCACGAGCCGCTGATTTATACTTCAGTCACAAATACCACCATTATGTTTGACCAGAGCAATGAGTGAGAGGGAAATTCAATCGGACAAGAATGTAGAGATGTGGCGCCGATTCTAGCTTGAACTCTTTTAAACTTTTTACCATTGTGTGCATATAAAAAATAAACAAAAAAGAAGTTTACACAATGCTGTACATGCGGCTGTACCGGCTTGTCAGTACTTAGATGGGAGACCGCTTGGAATACCAGAGGGACACCTGTGCAAACTTTTTGTTGTGCTTTTAGGCTATAAACGCTTCACCCACATTGACTAGAATGAGTTTGAGCCTAATGTGTGAACAATTGTGGTGGTCTGAGGGGCAGAAGGCACAGAAAGGCATCTATGTTTACGTCAGTCTACCCCAGGAAAGATCTGGCTACAAGTGTCTGTGTGAGGAGGGAATTAGCCATTTTGGAGCATTATGGGTGACATGAAAAGTGCTATGTAAATTCAATTACATTTATTTTTGTATAACCCTAAAACATGGACTGTAAAAATCATATAATTTATGAGTTCCAACGCAGGAAAAGCAATAATAACAAACATAAAGGAGCCATTGGTCCATAGGGAGTGGGATGACCAATGTCTTTAAAAACCATGCATATGAACTTATATTATAATATGCTTAATTACTTGGGTCTTGCCAGTTTCTTTGGTTATCCCAATTAGTATGCAATATTTCAGTGCTCTTTGGAAAGTTTTTATTGAGTTCTTATGAATTGCACTGATGTCACAGTATGCACCTGTTGAGAAATGCGTTTCCAAATGCGTTGAGTTTCCTGAAGGGTTTCTTGGGGTCGACCACTAGAGCGTTGCCAGGGACGACGCCTTCCGTGTCGCCGTGCATCACCGCGATAAAAGAGTCTGTGGTGGGTTCAGGGCCGATCCGCATTCCGGGAAAGTCCTGCTCCAACAGGTAGCTGTACAGAAGATAGTGAGATTTAGCATCAAGCAAAACAAGAGATTAGTCGGTAAATAGTACATGCAATACTGGCTTTTCGGTATGCCAAAGATATGTTTACTGTTTGGTGCGATGTGGGTTTCTACTAAAGTATTTTGTGAACAATTCAGACCAAAACATACTGTCTTTAGAAACATTGTATCTTTTGTATATTTGTAAGAAAGAGCATTTTGACTCTTTCTAATCGATTAGATGGGAAATTAAACTCATTATTTTATAATTACTTATTGAAATCATTAAGGGCTAGCGGATATAGCTAAGTATAAATCTAACACCGTGCAACTTGATATTGATATTTTGGTTATATTTGGTAAAAAAATAGAAAAGAATCGCTTTCAATTTCAGTAATTACAGCATTATTTGAGTCATAAAGCTTCACAGCATGGATTGGTGGATTGCTCAAGAAAAATCAATGGTTATTGAATTAGTTTTCAGTGGCAATTAATGAATTAACTTGTTACATTCCTATTTACTGCTTTGCTCGAAGGAGAGCTCATGCAAAATGGTCATTTCTTTATGCCCTTTCCGTCTGAAAAATCTGTTGACATGACAGGCCAAAAACAAATGCATGTGAGGATTAGTGTTAGAACCAAACTGTTTTGAGAGCCAGAAACTTGTTAGATGGATAATATAGTGCTCATTGTGCGTTAAAGCCGAGTATGTTTTTCAGACAGAATAGTTAAAAATTATTATCTCCTTCAGCCCCAAACATCCAATAGTGAGTCACAGGGATCTAATGCAAAAGATACAATTCTCATTCAATAAAGCCAGCACAATGTGGCCTAATTATTTCACAAAATATTATTTTTTCAAAGACCCTTGTTTGATTACAGTATAATAGTAATAAATCAATAGTATGGTCTTTCTATGAGCTCATACCAGTCTTTTCTCTAACTCTGAAAAATGCATTTGGTGAATATCTAGCTTTAAAAATAATTTACTTTCCCCACCTCAGTCAGTCAAAACATCAGATGGTACGAGTTATCAGCTCATAACCAAACCATCTGCAGCTTTCACAATGGTCATAACAAAGCAGTGACTGCTAACGTTACATTAAGAATTATCCTTTTTTAATGTCTATGACAAATTGTATGAGTGCAGCAAAGGTAAAAGCTCTTGACCCCATCTGTAATTGTGCTACAGCTGACTCTGACCTCATGTTGGGTGTGAGAGTTTGAACCAGCCGCTGTAATTCCCCAGCATTTTACTACAAGCAAATGAAGATTGGTGTGTTTGTGTGCACTTTTGCCATCCTAACATTGTGACATGCACCATAAAGAAGGCTTACCCAGAGACTAAAGCGGTTGTAAATCTTGTTAGTGTTGGTGAGGAATGCCTGTGTACATTTTAACAGCAAACAGATGTAAAGAAGATTCCTCTAAAACATCTTGTGCACCAACACAGCCGCACACACCTTTTTGTGAGAGTGCAGTGCCTGGTAGAGACATCACTACTTGCATATAACATGCATGCACGCATATGCTGAGAGGGAGTTGGTCCACTGCCTATGTAAGCAATATTCCAAACGCATGCGTTTTATCATAGGTATACTAGTCCAAAGCATGACAGCTCCTATAGATTAGAGCCATACATCAAATTATAAGCACTTACTCCATTTCATATTACATCATAAGTCCCTAGGCACAACTAGAACAAGTACAATCTGTCAGGTCTAACAAGATAAATGTATGAAAACAATATGAATCAGTGAAACCTAAGGTTTTAAATGAGTGGGATTGATATGACTTAAATACGGTGATACTCAGGAAGGCTAAATATTTTCTTTGGTAGTACTTTGAAAAATGCTGCTGTAGATCAAAGGGAAGCAGCTTAAATAAAAAGTTGGTTTAGTTGGGAGGTCCAACTGTTTAAGTCTTCTCAAAGCCGCAAACCACAATTTAACAACAAATAGTGTATGTTTGGGAACACTTAAGAGACTCAATGAATTTAAAGTAACTGCTTGTATATTTGTATTCTGTAACATAGAAATGAAATTAGCATGTTCATTTATAATCTCAAGGCTTGATCATGTAATGCATACAGTTACACTCAAATCAATATCAATGTGACCTATAGGTTGTGGTCATATTTTAGAATTCTATTTCAGAGGGAGAGCAGGTGCAAACAACTCTATGGAAAGAATCCTTTTTTAGTGAAATGTTAGAAAAGAAATGGTTGGTTGGAATTAAAACCTAAAGCCACACTGGCCTTCTGAGGTCCACTTTGTTACCCCTGTCATAAAGCAATGGAGGCGGCCTTCTGTTATTGTATGGAAAGTACACTTGGCCAGCCCTGCTCTGACAGTTACTCAGCACATTCTGCACCTTCCTGCTACAATGTAAGCTCGAGCTGCTGACTTGTGCGCTTGCTAGACAAACAAAAATAACAATAGTATTTTAAGGATGGGAGGAAATAGACAAAGACAACAAATACAAAACTGGAGCATAGATTACTAATGTCCGTGCTCTCGGATACAAGCAGGAAGTCACTCAGAGCATCCTCTTCGGCTTTGCAGTGCCAAACCCACTAATTACCGACAGAGATGTGGCAGTGGATGGCTGTTAGTAGCTGGCCTGCCGTTTCAAAGAGAACCAGCACCCAGATGCTAATGTGGCTGTCACTGATGAGTTATTGTGAAAAAGTCAAGATGTGCACGCTAATGCCAAACAGGAACAGGGATGTCATGAGAAACTGAAATAAACGGCAATTGTTTGGAATGAATTGCTCCTAGATTTTTAGTGATCATTGAGGGTCTCTAATAAAAGTAATCTTATAAGCTATAAGTTAGTTGTTTGCCTTTTTAGAAATGTATGGTTAAGGTACAATTTTATTCATCCTTTGCATTTGACCAATCCTGTATTGTCACTAGGGGATTCGAACCAAGGACCTTCTAGCTGAAAAGTGAGAAGGCTCACCACTCTGCCAACGTGTTGCCTCAGCACTATTAAACACTGGAGAAAGTAATGTATGAGTGGAAGAATAAAACAGCTCTTGTGAAAAAGATGTTGATTGATAGTTTTGTTGTTGTTTGCTCTTCATTCAACTATGTATGTGTTGTGCACCTTTTTTCATAGTGATATTTACCCATATCAAGTGTTTTATTATTTGACAGGCAATTACATGTTGGGCTATGGATGATGGGGGATGAGGGATAAGGGAAAACACTGAGAAATCAAGCCTAAAATGTGCAATGTTACTAGATCTATTCAGCTTTAAACTTATATATGGGAAACACTGTTAGAAGGTTGTGCTTTAATGTTTCAAAATACAATTATTCACACATAATTTGATGGAGGAAATTTTTTTCAATAAAACCTCTGAGAACAAGCTTACATGTGGCTTAAATCTCTTTTCGTGGATTTCATTAAACATCTGTGTCTTGGGGCGTGTTTTGTTTGTACATACTGAATATATTTGCAGATAAGTTGTATCATGGTGAAGTCATCTCTCACACATGCATTTTCCAAAGTGCTGAAACTTCAAAACAGACTTTGGGTGTGTCTCCCTGATGTCCCCCCGTCTTCCATTTGGCATCTCATTCAGGTTCAACACAAAATGTAATCAAATCAATCATGCTCACCGTATGAAGCTGGTTTTGCCTGTGGAGTACTGCCCCACCAGGAGGACCATGGGCTTGTTGTCAAAGTCAGCATCCTCCAGAGCAGGGGAGTGGAATTCATGAAACTTGTAGCTCTCCTCCAGAGGCAGCAGCTTGGTTTTGTACAGTTTTTTGAGTCCCTCACTTACAGTCTGGAAAACCTCTGGCTCCTTCCTCCTGTCATCAGAGCCTAGCCAGCTGAACATGGTTGATTTCACTTAATTCCGACCAAGAAATGAATTTGGTAGATGCTGATTGGGCTAAAGTGCACAATAACACAGCTATGACACACTATTTTTATTATTATTTCTCCAGTATATGGACTCACTGGCTTCAGAGCCTATACAGGAAATGACTTATCCTTTAACTTGTACTTGTTTTTTTTTTTAATGTGTCTTTTTGTTTTTCTTGTTGTTATATGTCTTTTAATATGGACCTTTTATTCTTGTGTCCGAAATAAAGTATTGAATGAATGAACTATGTAGCCACTATATAAAAGGTGAATGAATGATTTGCCCTTGATATTCTGTTTACAATAGCCAGTAGTGCTTTATCTTCAAACAGGACGTTGCAGTAGCAAGCTAATCTTCATTTAAATGCAACCCATGCAGTCCATCAGTGCTCCATTGTCCAGGCCACAAAAGACAGTCTGTCATTCAAGGTCTAACAAAGTGTGGCAGATCTGAGCAGAAATCACAAAGCAAATGATTAATTGTGAGAAATGTGCACGTCCAGCATCACATTACCGCTTCAATATCCTCCAAAATGTGCAAAGGAATCCCAAAAATGATGCGCACACACGGCTGCTGTCAGTGAGAGGGCAGCGTTATTGTCCAAGCGCTTGCTAACCTGCTCTTCTTCTATGACTCCGACAGCGGCTTTATTCTGCAGACACGCACTCCAAAGTCACATATACGCGCTATTTTGTTGTGATAACCAGCGCAGAAGCAGCTGATGATGATGCACCACCGCTCAATTTAAGTGCCGACTCCGATGGAAACCCGAAACCCCGGCGGAAGTGCCCTAAGCATCGGCAGTGAGTCCCGCCCAGTGATGGGAGAGAGGAGGACGAGGACCAGCGCACCGTGATCAGGACACAGCGCCATCTGCCGGAAACAACCGCAATGGCAGGCTCAGCGATAAGCATTTTTTTGTATATAATTATAACTATTTATAATCCTGGCGTACAGAGGCCTCCTGTTAGGATTTAGGCTACTCTAGTTTCACACTAGGTCAGTTAGTTTTACAAGTGGATAAAGAATTAAAAACATAATTTACATGTTCTTGTTTTTATAGGCGCTGAGTACCTTGCAGTTTTTATTTGGGTTTAATTAGTTATAGTTTGTTTGTTGTTTTGTTTATTTTACTTGGGTACTGGGTTCCCTGAGTTTGGTGCATTTGATCACCACAGATCAAATGCACCAAACTTACCAAATCACATCAGACTTACCAGAATTTTCATTTCCAAAGCCACACCAAGGCACACTGTCATGGCACATTGCATGAAATATACAGATATAAATAAAACCTATAATTACGAGTTTTACTTTCAAGAAGATTTTCCTTTGTTGAGTAAATGTCAGGGTTAACTAGTAGTTGTATTGAATAAAATGACAAACGTCTGGGATCGTGTCAGACAGACAGAAGACATGTTTTATGGTAGACGATGGTAGACGAGAAACCAAACAGAGATTCACACAATTCAAGTGATATTATACAAAAAGTATCATAGACAGTCCAAACAGCAGCTGCCAACGTGTCAGTAGCTTCGGCCTTGAGATAACGAAAACAGGTATAGTGGAAAATACCAGCTCCAAGCATGTGTTATAATGATGAATTCAGCTTTAACCGCAGTTGCATCAAAGTGTTATAAAATATCAAAAGTATCATTAACAGCAACCTTAGTGATAATTAAAGTATTATGGTTATAAAGTGATGGTTGTGATCAGACTTCATATAAAGGCTTGAGAGATTTACTCATTCCAATACAAGAAAACAACAAAGCATGCAGAGGTCTGGGGTTGTGTGGATTGCATAAAATGTCATAAAAAATTATCCTTACAATCTTGATCTGCATTCATAAAAAACAAAACGCAATATATAAAAACAAGCAATTTATAGCTACACATCAACAGTTGTGGATCTACACAAATCAGAGTTCCTTCGTTTTGGTAATGTGAGGCCAAAAATAGGCTACTTCATACTTTTTTTATACAATTTCACACACACAAACATATACATGTATATCTAAATACAAAATAATATAACCTATTGCCTGAGTTTAAGCAGAAGTATTTGGTATTATAAAATATCTGTAAAGTAGCACTGTGACACTATCCTCAATACTTGCTGATTTATTTTACTCACAAATAGTATAACAACTAGTACTTTATATCAATAGGATAATTTCAAATTATGACTCAGGCAGCGAGGTGGAATAAGGTCATACAGTAAAGAGCTGAGATTGAACTGCCACCTGTGGATCCGACTCAACTTTGCAGGTATTCTTAGCAGATCAGGATTTCTTTGATGCTAGTCATTTGACACAATGAGGTTCCACTTTTCCTTGAATTCCTCAGTATCCCATGGATCACTGCTCCTCTCTGCTCCCAAAGGCGACTCCTCCTCTGATGGTTGCCTCACAAATACAGTTTCCAAAGTTGGTGGACCTCCTCTTTCCCTCAGTGCAGTCCCTAAATCCAAACCTGGAATCGTTAATCTCCTAGTTGAAGGACTCCAGTTAAGGTGAAGAGAGTGCAATTCTTCTGTATTCTCCATGTCAGTCATTCCCACAAGCCCGTAGTCATCTGACGTGTCTTCTAATGGGTTATTGGGCAATGTGGCGCAGACACTTTGAGAAGCATAACCTGCAGAACTGATCATACTTGCATCATCAATAATATTTGAAATCTCATTTTGGCTGTTTTGTAAGGCTTCAGAATCTTGTTGGGATAAATCTGGCAGATTTTCTCCTAATCTATGTAATGTCATTGATGACGATGACAATGTTTGAAGGAAGGAGTTTTGTGACAAAGAATTGCTAGACGTTCCAGCAGCAATGAGCCACTCCTTTTTCTTGTACATTTCCTCCTGACATTTTGCAGCATCTGAACCGTCAGCTCTTTCATCACAGCGACTCACAAACCCGTAGTCGACCGATTCTTTGTCACTGACGTCAACAAGGGGTGGAGGCACAGGGCTGGCATTGGCTGAAAGTGAATTTGACAAATATTTGGGATATAACTTCTCTGACACCTCAACGCCAACGAAGGCAATACTGATGACATCTTCAGATATTGTTGGCAAAGGCGCAGGCAGGAAAATTGGTGAATTCTGTGAAGAAAGCAAAATAAATCATTATTTATCTTGTTGGTAGTATAATAAACTTTACAAGGACAAAAACATATATTTCATCAATATCAGCAGATTTAGACTATAAAATAAAACATGACAAAATCATTTGTTCTTATACTGGTTAGTATCAACCTTTGTATGTAAAACTAAAAAAGGGTTTTAAAAGACATCTACGACTTGAGACTGTAATATGCGTCATTAGTGGTCTATTAAAGTCATTACAATTACATTCCAACTGTGTATGTCAGGATCTCCCTGCATGTGACACATATTTGTTTCTAGCTTAACCCCGCAAGCTGGGGTTTAGCGAGAAAAACAACACAAGTTGTGTATTACGTATGACTTTTTATATTTGTATTTGCTTTCATTTAAACTGATGTGCTTTGAAATTTGTTATAAAAAAGATAAGAGCCAAAGCCTGTTTAATTCCACCTAACAAAGTGATTCACACTGCTCTCTAATCGCAAACATAAATAATTTTGAATGTCATGTCTATTGTTTTTTAATGTATTGTTTATTGTTGTTGTTTTTTTTTTTTTAGAAAAGGTCAAACATGTGCAACACACTTAAAAGATGTAGATGTAATCTAAAATGAAAAGAGTAGTGGTCGTACTCGAGGAACTGATGGATGATCAAATCCAAAGACAGAGCACTTCAGTGTCTCCACCAGGATGTAAGGGGTCTTCTGGTCTTTTCCTGACAAATATCTGTGAAGGATGTAGCCCCCTGCTACCAGCAAACACAGCAACAGCACTGGGACTGTTGTACAGATTATAACTATTCTTTCCAGTCGGTCAAGGAGCTCAACTGAAAAGAAACATGACACATCTCATTTCCATAACATAGTTATTGTAAAACAGTTGTTATGAATTAAACTATGAAACTTCAACAACAACCACTTGGAGTGGACAGTGGGACAATCTATAGCAAAACATGTGGGATCCAAAACTGATTTTGTTGAATAGATCTAAATCAACAGTATTTTCATACAGTAATCTCTTTACTTGAATCATTTTAAATGAAAAAAAAACATTCAACATTCACACAAAGTCCAATTCTACTTTGATTTTTGTATCTGGTTGGGTCTCATTCCTTGAAAGTCTTTCATAAGCAGAGAAAGAATTCACTCAGCCGCCCACACAGAGAAACATACCTTCAGGTGTGAGGATGCAGTGCTGTGCAGAAGACTGATGTTTGTCTGACATATACCGGTCCTCTAGTTTAGTTTTAGCAGAGAAACAGTATTTTGTCCCATAATCCACAAAGCGATATTTGTATTTTTCCTCGGTCAGTATTAAGTGATGCTGATAAGAAATACAAAAAAACTTTGAAATAATGGGTATAAAGTGTTGTTAAATTGTAATCAGGACAATATAATAAATACTTACAGTGATTCCACGGCGAGTGTTGAGGATAGTGAGGGTATAGACCATGTGGGGGAACAGCGTTGCCATGGAAACTTGTGGGGTCTGGTTGAGCGAACGGTATTTCATTGGACCTTCAATTTTAATATGTACATATTTCTCATCCAGTTCTAAAGAAATATGCGGGGGACCAAATTCAGCTGCAAAATAATTATGAGTAAGTAATTAAATTTAAAAATGAAAGAACGATTGAGTCTGGGAATGTGTTGCCATAGTGAGGAAGTTGTGGCCTGACTCCTGTCTGTACAAGTGCTGCACTAAAGTCACTATTCATTCACTCCACACTCAGTGATGCATCGGCCCTTCCGACATCATCAGTCACTCACCAGATTCATACTTTTTAGATGGTGGGGGGAAACTGAAGCACCCAGAGGATACCCATCGAGACAAAGCATGCAAACTCCACAGGAAAATCCCAGGTCGACAAAGGAATCAAACCGTCCTTCTAATATAACATGATCTTTCCAGGGAATTGGAGTGAATGAAAGATGTGCATGTATAAATAATATTAATAAGAATGCTTTTATTTGTAAAGCACTTACAAAAATTCTATTATGTATTATGGATAGTGCTCTTGCCTCACAGCAAGAATGTTCTAAAAGAGTTTCCTCCTGGGGCTTCAGTTTCCCCAACCATCCAAAATATAAAACATAGATGTTATTTTCCAGCTCTGGGAGTCCTGACCAACTTGAACATCAACATCTGGATTTGGGTCCCTGACCACTGCTCAATTTTTTTTATATAAACTATTAAAATTGTGTATAACATGACACACTAGCCTCTTGTATGTAAACCTGCAAATTTTCAAAGTAAATAATGCAAATCAAGGGCCACTAAAAATATCTTGCAGGTTGTGTGGTTGACATGCCTGCATGGCTGCATGAAATGCAGAGGACAAAATTCCCTATGACAACAATAAAGTATACACTAGTCCTACCCACAAACAAATAATACATAAAAAGATAAATTGAAGACACAAATAAAGTTTTTTAAACAAAATGCTATACAACGTTACTTACTGTCAATCATGGGGTCAAATCGTCTGGGCGTCTCCACCCATTTTGAAGTGCCTTTTCCAGCAACGGCTCGGACTCTGGCGAAGTACCCATGCTCTGGGTCTGATGTTTCCACACTCAGGTCACACCACGTCCTGAAGATCTTGGAGCAGAGTGGGACAGGCCTCCAGTGAACTCTGTTGTTCACACTGTCCCCATAACTGCTCCCAAAAAACAGAAATCCAAACCAAAAATAAACCATGCAGTCTTTTGTCCGGTCTACACAGCGGGATTGAGTTTCTTTTATAGTTCTGGTGATTCTCTCAACTTTTCCCATTGTTTGTCATCTCACAAGTGAGTTACATAATCTGCCCATACGGATCTACACAAACATAATATTGCACACATTTATCACATAACCACCTCATTTGTTCAGGTGAAATTCTTTAATTTAAAAAAAGCTATATTTCTGTTGATAATTACAGCGTGTTACCAGAACAAAAGTGAACACTAATAAAGAATATTACAAATCTTTCTTGAGTTTACAGAATGCAACCCTTAGTGGCAAAACACTCCATTCTTTAGCAAGTGTTGTACTTACATTGCATAACGGACGCTGTACTTAGTGTCAGCTGGAGCGCCATAACCTGGAAACCAGTTCAGGATATTTCTAAAATTTTTAGATGTGAAGGTGACATTATTGGGCTTAGGGGTCGAGGAGAGGACAGCTGAAAGACAAAACAATTTAAAATATAATCCACATCCATTTATTCTTGTTCAACACTTTCAACACACAATGCAGCAATAATGAGTATTGTTATTAAATGACAGCTATTAAATGACTCCTGCTTCTAGACTTTCTGTTTGAACAATGTTTGATCAATCTGATGGCTTTTGAGTTAAGTAAAAGGTTGCTAAAATGTACAGACAATCCTTCATACCAGACCACCATATTGCAGCAAATCTGAAGTTTGTAGGTCTAATAAATATAAATATAATAACCTGAAACGTACCTGTGTGAAAAACCAGCTGAAGAAATAGACTGGTCCACATATCTTCCAGATACAGTCATGTTGTGGTGTAAAAATCCATGGTTATCATTGTGTGTTGTTCACTTGCTCCTTGTCTCTGTTGTTATAGTTGAGTAGATCCAAGGCAGGTACATGAGAAGGAGGCGGCACATAGAAAGAGGAAATACTTGCAGAAGGCGGTCACAGGTTACCGAATAAATCACTGATCAGGTTTTGTGAGAGTGGAAAGTTGTCTCACTTGTGTGTGCACAATATGGCAAGAGCCACCACCCTTGTCAAGTTCAAATATTCAAACCAAAAGTACAAACTAATGGAATACAAAAGATCAGCATAAAGAGTTACAAATTATTATTTAAATTAATATTTATGAGTACATTTGAGGATCTTATAGACAGGCATAAATAGCAGGTGAAGTGACAGACCCAAGTGAGTTGTCAGTGAACAAAATAGTAATGCACTGCAGTAAATATCCCATCAGATGAAAGAAACTCAACTGTAAGTTTCTGAAAGCTGGACTTTTTGTAATGGACCCACAAATGCGCGGTGTACAGAGGTGAGCACTAAGCTCGAAACAGAGCTAATTTCACCTGTACAGTAGTATCATATTCTGACCAACACTGGGAACAAATAGCATTGTTTCAGCTGTAGTCCAATAGACTGAATATTTTCGTGGCCATACCTGCTCACCAAAGCCTCGTGTCAGAGATATTAACTTATTTGCATACATGTTTTAATCAAGTGTGTTATGTATAAAGATTCAAATATACAAAAAGGATCGATGTGATTTTTTTTTCAGTTTCCTTCCGGATTGTTTTTGCCGGGACACTCATTGTGACACATGTCTTCCGGTGGCTAACAGCTAGCAGTGAGCGATGAAGCGCTGAGAAAAACGTCTATTAAATGTGTTATGCTGCCTAAAAACAAGATACAATTACACCGGAAACATGTCACTCTCGATGGAAACACAGCTGCAGAGCATTTTTGAAGATGTTGTGGTATAAATGCATTTATTTGATATTTTAGCTAAAGCGCAGGTCGCAAAGCCGTAATTATCGTGAATACTTGGCATACATAAAGTATATCGGTTATTTTGCCTTACTACTGCAATAACATGACAGGCATGAATAATGTAGCTATTATGATGTGATGTTATTATGAGCAGTAATTTGTAAATGTATTTATATATTTGCAGAAAACTGAGATGATAGAGGAAGCCTTTGCTGGGTACGTGTTGACAGTTAATAATAATAGTTATTTTGAGACAATAATAATGATTTTATGCTATGTGTTGTCAAATAAATATTTTTTAGCATGTTTATGGACACACCAGAGGATGAGAGAACCAAACTTGTCAGTTGTCTTGGTGCCTTTCGACATTACTGGGGAACATTACCACAGGTGAGGCACAACTTAGAAAATGGGAGTGACTTATTCTCAGATTGTTGTACATTGTGTATGTTGTATGCATTTCAGGATTCACATGAGCAGTGTGTTCAATGGGTGGTGAGGTTCATTCACAGTCAGCACAGTCCTAAAAGAATTGCCTTCCTCTACGACTGCCTTGGCATGGCTGTGGAGACCAGTCTACTAACACCAAGGTAACACAAATTTATAGGATGAGATCCTAACCCTATTACCAATACAATATTATACGTCCAGAAACTCTGCTCTATATTGTTGATCCTGTGTCTCTAATTATTACCTTATTTTCTAGGATGGTGTGTGTAGCCCTAATTAGCTCAGACACTCTGGAGTGGGAGAGGACACAGTTGTGGGCGTTAACCTTCAAACTGATCAGAAAGATCATTGGTGGAGTGGACTATAAGGTAATAGTTTTTTTTTTTTGACTCCTCAGTATTTATTGGTCCTTACCCCTACATACATTTCTACTAGAATAACTAATAACTACTAGCTGCACAGTTTAGACTTGGCTGTAAGAAATCAATATAATTAATGTTAATACAACTATTGGATTGACTTCATATTTTTTTTACAGGGTGTCCGCGACCTTTTGAAAGCTGTATTGGATAAAATCCAAACAATTCCTACCACCGTTAGCTCAGCTATAGTGCAACAGTTACTGGCTGCAAGAGAGGTAATTGTTGTTACCCTCACAAATTTGCATCTCATTATGTTTTTATTTTAAAACGAAATTCTGTCATAGGTGGTGGAGTACATTTTAGACAGAAATGCATGCTTGCTGCCTGCATATTTTGCCATAACTGAAATTAGAAAGCTTTATCCTGAAGGCCAGTTGTCACACTGGGTAAGTGTTTCTTCAATTTGTTTTAATCAAATCTATGACATTTTACCAGTCTACATCAACTTAATTTTAACTACCAACTTTGAATGTTTTTAGCTTCTTGGGAGTCTAATCTCAGACTTTGTGGATAGTTTTCGGCCCACTGCAAGAATCAACTCAATATGTGGTATAACTTCTGTCTACAACTCTACATTATAATGTGTTAATTACATTTGTAGCTAAATATTTAGTTTTGACTTCGTATATGAACAGCATTGGTATCTATATTTCTATAATTGCATAATAAATAATATTAACAAAAACATGGATATGTTTTTTTCCAGGTCGCTGCAGCTTGTTGCCTGTTGTAAATAACAGTGGAGCAATCTGTAACTCCTGGAAGTTAGACACTACAAGTCTGCGCTTTCCTCTCAGAGGCCTGCTGCCATACGACAAGGTACTAAACAAATTTACTTTGTTCTCAAAGCATGGTGATAATTCATGTAAAATTATGCATAAATTATGTTAAATGATTTATTGATGTCTCAAATCTCCAGGACCTGTTTGAGCCACAGACAGGTTTGCTTCGGTACGTTTTAGAGCAACCTTATTCAAGGGAGATGGTCTGCAACATGTTAGGTCTCAATAAACAGGTAAGCTACACTATCATAGAATGATTACATTTTTGTATTTTCTCAGGCCCTTGTCAGGTCTGAACCCTCGCTTTCCTGCTTCAGTTTCCTATTATTTATGATATTTAATTGTTTTCTGGAAATATGTTCCTCTTGAAAGTGCACTATTTTTCCCTATATCCTCCACACGTGTTAACTTCTCTGTAGATTAAACCTATCCTGTGCGCTTGACCCATGATGCACTGGTGTTAGTTTACTCTGTTCAGTTCATGTTATTTCACTTCAGCACAACTGTTTAAAAGAAACCTAAAAACCTTCACAAAGGTAAAATGTATCTTCAGTTTCTGTTGTCTGAAGTGATGCTGAACAGACAGTGTGATGCCTATCTCCCTAGTCACATTTCTTTCTCTTTTCTCCCTCTGTTCTGTCTTGCATTGTTCCTTTCTCTTCCTCTACCTTGTCTCTCCTCTGGTGCGTTGTGTCGGTCTCTCTACAATGCATTCTCTAGACTCTGAACATTTCCCAGGTATGTTATCGTTCCTCTTTCTGGTCACATGACCTGTCAACTAACCAGTCCATTGGGTGCTTTGTTTTGTTTTTGTTATTTTTGTGATTTTACACAATAAATGAATCTGCAGTAAAGACAATTAAAGATAGAAATAGCACAGAGCTTAATGTGGTCACAGCATTTTTTATTCAATTCTTGATTAATTGTGGCCATTTGTTATTACAAATGGACTAGCCCCAGCAAGGAGGTTAAGGTTCTATGAGAAAAATGAATGAGTGAACATACATTTGGTTCTTCAACGTGGATGATTAGAGTTAATTTTGTACTGACTTTGGTTGAAATCCCTGCTGGGGGCACATCAAGCTTTGCTGCACTGCATGTGTGAATGTAGTCTGCTTGTCGGCCCTCTTCTCCGAAGGTTTGTGATGCAAATCTGGGCAAAACTACACTTGAACCTTCCATTGCCATAGTTTGAATTTGTATGTTAAAGCTTTATACAATTGTGGATTTTTTGTCTCGATTTCTTTTATGTATGTTTGCCTATTTAAAGGGTTACAGCCGTTGAAATATTTAGTTTATGGTTTTGATTATTGCCGTTTGTGTATTTTGCCCAGGTTGTAAATTCATGTTCTGGTTATGTGACTGGATGAGTGAACGTTCACCTGTATTGTGTTACGATCCGTTTATTTTACACATTGAACAAAGCCACAAAGGAGCCTGTTATGATGTGTTTGATGGCTATTGTTGTGTTGCATTATAGATGGAACTTCTTGCAAGTATTGCCCTCAGTTGTTGTTTGACCGAGACAAAATAAATGAAACATTTTAGTAACCACTTAGAGGAATCCTTTGGTTGGCTTTCCTGTTACATTTCATATCTTTTCTACCTTTCTCTTTCTGTTTCTCTCTTTTCTCACAACTGAAAGCATGATTGTCCCCAAATATAAAATTGCATGCTATTTTTCTGTGCTGTAGTATTACTTACTGTAACTTCATGTTTGTCCTTTTCTGTGCTTGGATATGCAATGGTAAAATTAGAGCTGGCGTTGCAAAAGTGTCAGTACAACTTGAACATTGCCACATTTTGTCACGTTTACGACCACAAATATAACTATTTGTTCTCCTTGTTCAAACTGTTGGTTTGAGCGGACACCCATGAATTGGTAGGTTTGTAGTATTCTTTCCATTCCCAAATGATGGATTAACTTGTGCTTTGTGAGACAGTGCTCCTTTGACTTTGTGATGCTGTTTAGTGAGCATCAAACATGTGAGCTATCACATTTGGTTGTTGTAGTCTTTAGGGAAAAACCAAAATATCTTTCTTTGTGGTCATAAACTTGATAACATGTAATAACAGTTCAAGTTGTATTGGTGCTTTTGCAACCCACTGTGAATATCCAGAATATTGCTCTAGACCTCAACGGTTTATATCAAAAATTGACTTCCGCTGGACTCTGTCCACAACTACTTAATATAGACTGTAATGTATAGTAAAAGCTATGCTATTAGTTATGACTAATATTTGTAAAATGGCACAAGTTGTGTATATTACTAATAATAATTTCCCATCTGTGATGTGTATGGACTGTAATTACACTTTTTAAGGGCACATTGTCAATGCTTTTATTGATTGCATATGATTATATTAACATATTATCGAAGCCCTTTTGGTTTTCTTCTATTTATTTATTTATTTATTAAAGGGACAGTGCATATTAATACACATTATACATGTAAATATGCCAGAATTAGCCAAAGGGCTATTTTCCATCTGTAGTTCCTGGACAGTTTGTTATGTGTCCTCCTGAAGGGAATATTCATGTGTATGTTTTACTGTCTCTGTTGTCCCAGTCAAAACATTATTTGTATTTATGTTCCCATAACACTTCCTTCGTCCCCAGCATAAGCAGCGCTGTGCTGTCCTGGAGGAGCAGCTGGTGGATCTGGTGGTGTACGCCATGGAGAGGTCTGAGACAGAAGAGCATTTTGACGTGGACATTGGAGGAACCAGTCAGCTGCTTTGGCAACACCTGTCCTCCCAACTCATCTTCTTTGTGCTGTTTCAGTTCGCAAGCTTCCCACATATGGTGCTGTCGCTGCATCAGAAGGTAAGTGGAATGTAGAGCCACAAGCAAACAAAAGTATTAAGGTTCTTTACACAAATCATGAATATGATTTCTGCAAGCTATTAGCATGTCTTTGCTGAGTTTGCTCCGATCTTCTTCAGAGACATAAATACTATAAACTACAGTATTATCAAGATAAGATAAGATAGACTTTTTTGATCTCACACAGGAGAACTATACATGTCACATCTGGCATGGATAGAATCACTCAAGAAGAAAAACAATTTGTGCAAAGAAAGAAGTGTGCAAACATTTTAAAAGCAGGATATATTATGTACAATAAAAGTGGCAATTAAGAATAATTAACAATTAACAGGGGCAATATTCATAATTATATTGTATAGGATGATTATATGTAGACAAAACAACAACTATAACTTTATCATTAGTCTCGTCCAGCCTGCTATTTGAAACGGCAATACTACTACCCAACTAAACAAACCTATAGTTATTATTTAGTTTAATTGTTTCCACCCAGGAGGTAACAGCATTTGCAATTGTAGTTTAGTTTGGTATATTTCAGTCAAAATTATCTTAAATAACAGGACACCTCATGAAATTTCTTTCTGGTAGACAGAAATGCTGAATGCTTTGTTCAGGGGTGAGAGCCCATCGAGTTGCAGTTTCCTGTATGAAATGTGCTATATAAATACAATGTATTGGACTTTGTATTTGAATTTTTTTTGACACTGATATTTTCACTTTTAGTGCAAATGAATAAAGCTCTATATCGGCCTCTACTGTAGGTCCATTTTTATTGAACTGGGTTAAGTTTGTAAGCGCTCCTGAAGTGGTGATGTGTTTGCAGCTTGCAGGTCGAGGCCTCATCAAAGGAAGGGATCATCTCATGTGGGTGCTGCTCCAGTTTATATCTGGCAGCATCCAGAAAAACGCCTTGGCTGATTTCTTACCTGTCATGAAGCTATTTGATCTGTTGTACCCTGAAAAAGAGGTGAGCGCAGGCCCACTAAAAACTATTGATATTTAATGTGTGTAATTGCATGGCAAAACATATAACACTAATTCCCTTTTAGTGCATCCCTGTTCCAGACATCAACAAGCCTCAGTCGACTCATTCCTTTGCAATGACCTGCATTTGGATTCATCTGAACAAAAAGGCTCAGAGTGACAATTCCAAACAGCAGATTCCCATCCCGCACTCTCTGAAACTACACCATGAGTATGTGTCTCATGTATATTGTATTCTGTAGATAAATGAGCATTTACCATGGATGGCAAATATTTTTTTTAAGAGAATAATTGAGAATAATTTTGGACCAATGTATTTGAAGAATTTGAGGCTCAGTTTCTTGAAATGGTGGAACATACTGCATATTGTCCCATTTTGGTGTTGCAATAACTGTGTTTAGTTTCACCTGTTTAATGGAACTTAAATTAACAACTGTGCATTTGTCATAATACGCGTCAATGATTTAATTTCCTTTTATTAGATTCTTGCAACAATCTCTTCGTAATAAAACTCTTGGAATGGCAGACTACAAGATTGCTCTGCTGTGTAACGCCTATAGTACTAACTCGGAGTGCTTCACGCTGCCAATGGGGGTTCTGGTGGAGACCATCTATGGAAATGCTGCTATGGGAATCAACCTGCCTGGAACCAAATGCATGGCATCTGGATCAGTTACCCCCCTGCCCATGCACCTTCTGGACTCTCTCACTGTTCATGCAAAGATGAGGTACAGTTTAAAATTACAATGCATGTGTTCGTTTCTCAAATATGAGGATAAATCACAATCATTTTTTTCCCCAGTTTGATCCACAGCATTGCAACAAGAGTGATCAAACTGGCCCAGGCAAAGTCCAGTGTGGCCCTGGCCCCTGCACTGGTGGAGACATACAGCAGGCTCCTTGTCTATATGGAGATAGAATCTCTTGGTATCAAAGGATTCATCAGTGAGTATGCTTTTTATTTGTTCAAATTAAATTAAATTAAATTAAAACAAAATAATTGTGTATAGGACTTACAGGGCCTTATTTTTGAATCCAGCTGCTAAACTGTGCATATGATAATACACTTTCCTTGCACACATCACAACTGTATTTGGCCCAAACAGACCTAAATCTGACTAAACCCAGTCAAAGCAAAGATGTACTTGGACCTTATGTGTGCAACATCCGTCATCCTTGCCTATTCACAACTGCCACTGTGTCATGATTTGAGAATGTGTTTTATTTTCACACAGCTTTGGTTTGTTTCTTGAGGCATTATTAGCCATATAATGTAATTGTTTTTGCAGGCCACTGGTCCTATCGCCTACATGTCATTCAAGTCTAGCGCTCTGGGGAGCATCCTTCGACACAGCTGTTACTGGAGTTGTTCAGCTAACAGGAATGCATTCATTATATCCAGCCCATCACCACTCAGAGTACAGCTACATGATACACGCCACGCCTCCACTCGGCCTGGCCAAGCAGTACACCAACGCGGTCCAACAGGTCCAGAACCAGCTGCCATCTCATGGTACATGCGCAGTAACTGCGATTGTACTTTTGAGTTATTAACTTTTAGAAGCATCCTGTCAGTTTAGCCCTGTATTACTGCCTGTGGAACTTCGTTGTTATTTCCAACATGTCGTCGAGGAGCCACAGCTTTAAGGCTGGATCACAGCTCTGAGTGCCGCTCAGAGGTGCGAGCGCGCAGTTGTACACGCTTCCTCGCAACGGACCCAAAACTGGTATGGTTTGCTCGCGGAGTTCGGAGGAAGCTGAGACCCGAGCCCTCATCCCTCACCCTGGCCCGCGCTACTGTCTATGTCACGGGTAAGCTTGCATTCTGTAGCTCATTTTAGTTATCATTAACAAGTATGCCTGAATCTCGACATACCAAGGGCCTATTTACTCGCCATTTGCCTTGTTATCGTCGTGTTGTTTCAATACATTAGGTTTGGACAGAAGGACACGTTCCCGAACAATTGCAAATATCAATGTCTTGATCCTCCAACATAGTCATTATATAGTGTTTTTATTATCGTGGTCCTTATTCTCTGTACCTCATTACGAGACGAGTACAATTCATGGCAAACCTGACATCATGTAGTTATTTGAGCTGGGATGGATCGAATCAAACAGTGGTCTTCTCGGACTATTTCGGTCTAGTGAAGGTTGTTAGTGTCCCAGCCCTGTATTGGAAATATGGAGTAATTTCATTGTGTGGCACTATAATATCGATATGATTTCCGCATCATGATTGGCAGGGCTGTGACTGAGCAGTGTCTGAGTTCAAGCTGAGCTCAGACAATTTTAAGGAAATGTATTGCTCTATGTGTTCTCAATAGCTAAGATAGGCACTTGTAATGATCGACATTCGAGTATCCATTATCAACACGTCACTTGTATGAATCTTACCTATGCATGATATTGTCTAGAATGGCATCTATATTTTGTGGAGAACGATAGCTGACGAAGGGGGCTCACGATGTTAGGGCTTAAGTTTCATTTCGCTCCACATTCGAGACACTTCGTCAGAATGGCTGTGTATTTCATAGATTTTTTTACGGGTTGATTTCAATCATGGGGATCTCTGGCTGTAATGACATCCTCAAATACACATAATGGATTACTACGCCTCACCCTGGGCCTGTCTCACACTCTGTTTCCTGTTTCCCTGCCCCCGCTACAGGTAAAAAAAAAACCAAAAAAACGAAGGACATATACAGCTTCCAGTTCTCAAAAAACTTGAGTAGGTTCTTTACATACGTCGCTGTGCTGCCATTAAGATGTTGTCCTCATCTGGCTTTCTTCCCCTAGCAATCCAATTGTACCGTCAAGGTGTCCCGTTTCAATCTGGGAAGGGCAGAACTGTTGAGGGAGGAGTACAGGACGTGGCCAGTGCCATGGCCAACGGAGTAATGACGATCATTACACATTTCTCCGGATGCATAGGATCTCCTCCCTCTCCGCTGATTTCCTGTGTCATGTGCTGGATGTGTATTGTCTAGCTGGCGATCAGGACCAGCATTCCCTCCAAGATTCGGCTTTAGGTCTGTAAAAAAGTGAAACTAGCAACCCGTCACTACCTGTTAACTATTGTCACTCGCTACACTTGATTAGACGTTACTTATGATGTATTTCTTAGCATTGTTTTTCACTATTCGGGTTTCGCCATCACCAGTACTATACCAGGGCCTTGCCTCTGCACTATGCTAATATCTCTGTGGACACTTGTATGTTCCATTGTGGCATTTTAAAACTTTTTTATCCTACTTTTGAATTAACTGTTATTTATTATATTTACTTGATCCATACGATCCCGCTCTATGGAGTGGGTTACCAACATGGCTGGTTGTCGAGGGCAATGTTGGCGCAGTGGCGAGTTTGGCATTATATTTATCAGAACTACGCATACTGTTTAAGTTTTCTTTTGTGTTGATAGACCGAAAGAATATGTTTGTTCTTGCTCTAGTTATTGTCGCGGGTTTAGAGCTACCATAACCAGATTGCCCCGGGTCTCCGCAATTGGGGTAACCAATTGGATGACTCACGCTGCATTGGTCCGCGATTATGAAAGCTGAATTAAGGTCACTTGAAGCTGCCTTGACGTGGGTTGCCATGTGAACATTCCTATACCACTCTATACTCTTATTGTTATACAATATTCGGGTTACTGTTCTGTTGCGCCAAGTGCTTATATCCATCTAGTGTCATACCTACTCCAAATCCTTCCTCAATACTGATGCTCTGTTCTCGTAGTTAAGCCAGCAGGATGGTGATGACACCTCGTACGCACAATGTTTTACCAATCTTGCAGCTGCGTGTCTTAGTTACTCCCTCTTAGTACCAAGCATCTTTAATGCCCAAATTATTACACTGCGCATAATTATGTTGGCCATTCTTTTTCTCTAGAGATTACCACTGAATTACGGAGCAAAGCTCCGTGCAACAGTTTCGGAATTACCATATGGATAATTATTTTGTTGATTCTTCAGGGTGCACGAAGAAATCACATTTCATTGGGGACTCGCTTTGTTGAAGCACTTTCCATAAACTGCTGTTCGAGGTCATTATTCTGAATGTCTGTAGTATTGGCCGCCAAAGGGGCTTGTCACTCGCCATCGCTCTCTAAACAACCATCTAGTTTAGTTTCAGAGTTTCGGGGGGGAGTATAGTGGTGATGTTAGCTCCGTGTGAGTCTTGGCTGAAAGCATCTATGTCTCTCCCCTAGTCCGCAGAGGTGGTTGGCGCACAACTCGGAGCTCGTGGCAGCTGGTGTTGGCTTCACTGTGCGTACTTATCGCCAGACTACAAATGGGTTACGCAGTTCTCCACGTCCGTGGGTGAAGGCTAGTCAACATTCAGGACATCGAAATACATCAAGACATGGTCTGGAAGTAAACATCCGTAGAGGATGCCTCATTCTTGCATGTTGGTATTACCTTTCTCACTACTAAAGGACGCAAACCACGTTTGCACACCTACAATTGGCTCCACAAAAATGTTTTGATTGAAATAATTTTGCAACTAGGGTTCCTTTAACAGAAATCGCGGTTAATTCCCAATAGATTTGGATTTCAAAGTAGGGCCGGAGAAAAAAACGAACAGTTATTGGGTCTCCTCAACATAGAAATATTTGTATCGGTAGTATGAATGTTGTGATGATGGCTTGCATCTCGCATTTCGTTCTATTAGTGGCAAATCCCCAACCATTTATGTAAAGGTCGTGAGTTCCTTAGTATGTGTCTGTCAGGCCAATGGTTCATGAGGAAAATGAGGCCAGGTCTGCCTATGTCTTCATTCAGATGCTCTGTTAGAACGCCCAAAGATTAGCGGAAACGGGTGAAATGACTTTAGTGAGGAGAACTCTCGGCGCACTGGCATGGCAGAGTGACTGGCCACAGAAGCTATGAGCTACAACGGTTGCACCCTAATGTATCAATTATGCAGCTCAGGCGCTAGAAACCAAAGCCACAGCAGCTCAGGCGTGGGGCGAAATGTCGCTTCGATGTGGGGGATGGAAATACAGGGACAGGGAGTTAGTTCTGTGAGAGTTGGAGAGGTAGCTGCCTGTTTATATTGTTCTTCTAGTTACAAGGAAAACAGTGTTCAGTAAGAGACTTTTATAAGTGCGAAATACCAGCTCACAAGTTTTTGAAAAAAAAGAGATCATTAAATGATTCAGGGAATTTGAGGAGGTCTGTTGCAAGGGTAATACCTTTGCATACCATCTGTATAAGGTTGGAAGAACTTATACACTGTTCTTTTTGTTATTAAGCGTTTTTATCGGTGTTTTAGTCGGTTTTACTTTTTTTATACCCGAAAATTTGTAAGATATGGCTTTTTTTTACCTTAACCTGTTTGGATGAGAGAGCTGTGTCTTCAGTCGCAGTCATCAGACCACACATAGCGTTGTATATTATCTTAATTTGGTGTTACTAGAAGAAACCTTATCGGTGTATTATACTGTTACCCATGGCGAATTCCTATGAAAGAAGGTGAAATGAAGGAAAATGACAATGTTGGGATCGTGTTGGCAGGTGATATACGACAACACAGCTGGAAACAGACTGCTGTGATAATCTCCAGGAAGTATCTGAGTATAAGAGCAGCCGTGAGTGGTTTCAACACTTGCGATACCCCCACAAAACCTTTGAATAGTATGCAAAGTAGCTGCCTTTATATATGACTCTTTGTTCGAATTGATGAGATTGAATACGTCTGACATGAAATTCAATAGACATTCTAAAGACATCTGCTTCTTTTAGAGTTTATATATTTTTCTTCACTTGGTTTGAATTTGACCTTATTTTGTTTTCTGTGTACATGTGGTTGCTAGAGTAGTTTTCTGGTGTAATCAACCGAAATACCAGAGCAGTTGTACTTTGAGGCGGGCTCTCGAACAGGGTTCTCCCCATGCCGCTGCAGCCTCAGTACCTTCAAATTAACTTATTGACACGTGTGTTATTATTCTCTCTCCCGTTTTTGTCAAGTCTCCCCAGTTCCTGGAGCTTCTCCACTGTTAACGTAATTTGGGAAACATGTGGGTATCTGGGAGGCTTGATACACGTTTCCGGTGCGTTACATGTACTAATAGTGAGACATACCGACATACCTGCCATATGATAGGATTTTTAGTGTGCGGATGCCATGCTGCTAGAAAATTTTTGAACAAAATACTAGTAGATGTTTTGTCTAGGGCTTTTTGATCAGATAATTTCTGATGCATATAGACTCTTTTTGATTTTAATTAAATGCTGTAAAACTAAAGACCAGGACCTAATGGTTTTGCTGCGTATATAAAATATTGTTATTTAGTCTATTTAATTGGTTTTTTTCCTGGCTCGCGATGATAAACCCATATAATGATATACCATATGAGAGGAATATCCGTAAGAGATACAATTCACATATTCTACACCGCCTGTGGAAAAATCTTTATAACTAATCCTAACCTCATTCGGGCTTGACATAATACAAATTTTAGGGCTCAATTTATTTTGACCTAAATCGAAAATTGTGCCATCAAGTTAAAATTTCGAGAAATCAAAAGAAGGCTATTCTGTTGAGATCCCGCAGCGCCCTAATGTATACATGCCAATATCAAGCATGGCCTTTTACTATACTGACCTTTTGTGGGAAAAATACTATTAAAATGTTTTGATCAACTTGATTATTGATCGGAAAGATCCAGAACAAAATTTTTAAGCGGAATTTAATGAACAAACGATTTAAAAATCGCAAAAATTCGTCCCAAAGCAGTGGAACAAAGTAAATGCGATATTAAGATTTTGCCCCATATGCCAGCCTCAACAAATCTCTGTATATATATAATTCGTATCCTCTCAACATGTTTGGTTCGACACACGTTTTCCATGTAAATGATTGCTCGCACAAAAGTCAGCCATCAGCTTCCCATGAAACCCTGTTTATTTTCAGATAGCTCCCGCCAGGCTGGTTTGGTTTGTTACAACAAGTTATTTATACAGATTATGACTCGAGACTATTCATGTTGGGCCAGCAAGACAATGTTTCCGTATTCTTATCACCGAATATCTATACGACATTAGTAATAGGCTCCATTCAAGGGAATTGCGCTAATGCTGTCATCCTCCAATTTATGCAGAGAGATTTGGTGTCCATTTAGTTCAACCTCATGTGAAATAAAAAACACTGACGTCTTAGGTGAGTTTAATTTTGAATTCGCAGATGCCGGTGACTCCCTTGTACCAACACTCCTTCCTTTACTATGAGAGAGCCACAACTGCGCGACGGAACCCGCAACTGAAGCGTACGTCTTGCTTCCTGCCTATTTCTTCTGCAGGGTATACAGCCTCAACTCACCACGCTTTCCAATCTAACAATATCCTTTTACTTTTATATTTCCATGTTTTGTAGTACAGGACAACGCAACAATTGGTTGGTGTTGAAGTGAGCAATACTGAGAGTGTTGTGCCATGACAGCGACGACCTGTGTGGATCCAGCCGAGTATATTGAAATCATTGTAGCTGGAGGACAAAGTATCACTTATTTGCCATTTTACCCAGTGCAAATACTCATTGTCATTTTATATGTTTTCCGAAACATTTCCAAAGGGAAACCATTAAGAGACCCAAACTTACAGCCCCTTGCCTTATGTCCTATTTATGGCACAGCCAATGTGTAAATGACAGTTGAAACAATCTAGCCTTTTTCCCATTAATAATATTATACTGATAAGTTATTATTTAGTATCTTTTATTGGGACACTCAAAAAACAACAATCACACGCTACCCCGAGGTGATAAGACCTATCTGCCTGGGACAAACACAGATTTCTTTTTTAGTTTTGCGTTAATACTCGTGCTTTTCCACTAGACAGATCATCTTCAGCTAGGTGAAGGGCCGGTAGATCCACGGAAATGAGTCCAGTGGTACAGTCGATGCAATGTGTGCCCTAGTCTGCTGGTGAACAGCTACTATGTTGGTCCTTGGATAGACCAGAACGGACTCGGTATGTGCGCAGCCGTACCTTGACCTGTTCGGAACCGTTCAGGTCCCTTCACCATTGTTTGCGTTGCGGCAGGACGAAAGGGGAGGGGGGCAGTGGATGTACGCGGGAAGCGGTTACCGCATTGCAGTAGCACTGGCACTCATGCGAACTGGCTGTCCATTCTGGCGGTTGCTTAGCAGACTGGAATTATCTGAATGTTCAGGCGCTTTCATGGTTACTGTGACGTTATTATCGCATTGAGAGGGATTTGTCACAACGGTCAATTAGGACACTTGGCCGACTAGGCTCTGGCTGTGCGTCTTACGACGCGGGTGTGTGGTTGGTGGTTAGTGTTTTAATCCGGGTTAGGCATTGGAACATTATGAAAATATTTCCGGGTAACGGGAACTGTTCTAGACGGGACAGGGCAATAGCAAAGTAAAGACAACAAAATTCATGTGGTTTATTATTTCTATTCAATAAGAGTGTATTGTAGCTATCCAGTTCACAAGCCTATTAATTTCACAATAACATGTCTAAGCTGCGAGGATGGACATGACTTTTTTTTTTGACATACAAATATGGGTCTTAATCGCGCCCTAAACCAGACCTTGTAATAGGACCGGCTCCGGGTCGGGCCACATGTTAGCAGACAATTAGGTTACGTAAACTTTCTTTCAGAAAGCCTCTTGCCTTTTTTCTTTTTGTAAGGGGCAAGGTTTGTGAACACTACACGCTTAACCCCTATATTTACACTATCAACTTCACAGACAATGATTATCGGGTAATGATCTGCCTTACCATTGACGTAGGCAGTAGAAGCGGCCGGAGACGGGTTTCGAAGGTTGCTCTAAGATATAGTCTTTCGGCAGACGCAGGAGATAATTTAAGAATATTTTTTTTTCCATATTTTTATTATTTTATTTATTCTTTTTTTATCAGCTGAACGCCACAGGGATAGAAGAGGTGGCACCGTTTTTTTATACGCTGTTTCAAACTTATTTGGTTATTTCCACAAGGGGGATAACCTCTCCTGCGCTCACCACCTATTTATTGATAAACAGCAACTGGTTGAAACCGAATAGTGGTCTGTGTGTTCTTAATACTCGGAACAGCCCCCTAACCCACATTGGAAATGTGCCTCTTTACGCGACTTTATGCGTATATGTAAAGAGCCAAACATAATCGGGCATGGGCGACATTTTGCTGTAGCTCAACTACATTTCGTGAAATAAGCCGCTCTGCGCAGGTCTCAGTTGATTAATATGATAGATGTTCATCTGTACATGGAGAAACGTCCGTGTATCCAAACCCCCTTCGGCTCATCCAGGTCGACAAGTGGATTGGCTGACTTTAGAATTATCTTAGTGCAATTCCTGAA